ATTCACAAGATAAACCCAGAGATTTCAAATAGGAATCCATCGAGTCAAAAACATTTTGACCTGGTGTGGTCTGAGTTCTTTACAACAGAAGAATTGCTCCATTATTTTTCTGTAGTTAAGAAATAAGTGAAAGCTAAGAAATGGCATTTTCTGAGTGGTGCCTTGAATCTAACAAGGTTGAGAACTACTGAACAATGATTCAGAATACCACCTCCCCCCCGACCCCTTTGTCTTTACCAAGTTGAACCAGAAGTTCCAGTAAGATATGTAACACAGTCCAGCAAATTCATCTTCTGGAAACCTAGAAGATGGCCATATAGTGATGACATTGCCCTATAGCCTCCACCTGCTGCCATAATAGCTATTAGTGGAACCTGTTAAATACATAAGCATTATCGTTAATGACTAAGGTTCCTGCCTAATGGAGAGAAGCCTAGCCCCTCAGATGTTCACTTGCCCCAGTGGAAGATTTCTAAAGTATTACATTGGTACAGTATGTTTTTCAGCAGAGGATGTAAAACATCCAGTGTACGTGATTAAACATCTCACAAATTGTAGCCAATTGTGTACTAAAATAAACAGTATATTGATATAGTATCAAATGTGCTTCTCTCCCTCCTATTCCATATATTAAGAGTTAACATAAAGAGCTGAAGAGAAGAAGCCATTTTAGCAGACACAAGTTTTACTGGCCTACAAAAGCCAGGACTATGCTGCATGTGTTTTGGAGATCATCTCCTGCTACCTTATCTATTAACTTCAGCACACTCCTAACCAGGGAATTCTACCTCACAAGCCCCCACACAACATACCTCGTGCTCTTGCAGATCCTGTTCCAGATAAAGACACTTCTTCAGTGCTTCAGCAACTACTTTCTTCCTTTTCCTCAGGAAATCCTGCTCCTCCACACACAGATCAAACCCCAGGCGCACATCTAGGCCTTCCAGGCTGGAACATAGAGATATATGGACACTGATACACCCTGAGGTATTACATATTGTGCATAATGTGACCTCCATCCTGAGGGTGGTACAGATCATGCACCCTCTCCATAGCCCCTTTGCTCTGCTTCCTGCTGAAGAATAGCTCAGCCCCTATGTCCTTTGCGATGGCTACAACCAACTGCTGTACATAATCAAATAAAATGTTGGATCACAATAAGAGGCAAATCTTGAGCTCCAACATCCAAGCTCCAATGAATGTCAATGAGACCAGCATGTGCTCCTAAAGGTGAGCAGTCTTGAAGAATGTTCATAGCTGTTGGTTAACTCCTAACATGCCATTCAACACTACAGCAATTAAAGTATTTGCTAATAGACAGTTACATCACTGTTCAACACCATTCATCCTCAGTCTAGATTATCTCCAACCTTTGTTTGTGTTCCTCCTGCTCCATTCATGACACCACCCCCAAATGCCTCTGTATTTGATTGCTTTAGTAGCCCTTCCCCCCTGAACAAGAAATTTGTTCACCCAAGCGCCATCACCATCTAATATTTATTCAAAACCCTCCTAAAATCTCATTTCTTCCATCTTTCCAGCAAGGAATTAGTTACATTAAAAAAAAATAACAACAGAACTTTGGGAACATGGTCATGATTGAGTGAACGTGCAACCTCATTATTACAAACCTTTTTCCCACTTATTTTTACGTATTGTCCTTACTGTGTGGTGTGTCTGAAACTTGATTCTAAGTTCACTGGGATGGAGAACAGGGCATAAATATTCAAGAGCTACTGATTTTGGGATGTTGAACTTGAAAAGGGGCCTCCTGCTTCCTGTGAATTCAACAGAAAATTCCCACCAATGTCAGTGGAGTAGAACAGTGGTGTCTCGGAGGTCGTGTATTCAGCATTCTGTAAAAATAAGGCCCCTTTAAAGCATCTTGCATCATATATCCAAAACTTCAGGCATAAAAAGTGGATAAAAATTCTTTTAATCTATGTATTTTACATTTTTTTAAAGTTCCTAGCATCTTTGTGTGCTGCAATATATTAATTAAAATAAAAGCAGCCCTACAGGACTACTGCTGTTAGCCCCACATTTGAACCTCTATGACGCTGTTGTTGTTGCTGGTTATTTTGTTGTTGTTGTTGATGATGATGATGCTGTTAGCAGCACACAAGGCTCTTAAAAAATCAAAGTCACTGTGCCCAAAGAAAGGCAGCCATCTAGGAGCATACCAAAGGTGGGTCACCATAATCACCATAACATAGGCTCAATTCTGCAGGGTGCTAAGCACCCTACATCTGATCCAACAAAGGCTTTTACTACCATGTACTCTCATTCTTAAGCACACAGATCTTCCCTTTAAGTTCAGCTGTGAATAGGACAAAGCAGCTTGCCACTCATTGGCCTTCAGCTGTAACTCCAAATGTGCAGGCTGAAAACAAAGGATTTCAGGGTTACATAACTCAGATGGCAAGAATATGAGCATACTGCAATGAAATTCATGGTTATTGCTGAACAATTAGCATACCCTCCAAGAGAACCAGACAAAGAACTAACACAATGGTTGAATTGTCTGCCACTGCAGACAGGAGATAGACTCATGGGACACATCTCCATATGCAAGGGTATGCACTTGCAGCAACAACAACAGTAGTGACACAAATTTGTGCTGCTACTTTTTGTCGCAGTGCACACCTCTGCACTGCCAGCGTATCCATGTCTGCCAGTGTATGCTCCTGTTGCATGTGCCATGCTGCTTTTTTTCTTGCCTTTTTTTTTTTTTTTTTT